CCCCCCCCCCACACACACACCATCCTGAACCTAGAACCTATACCACGAATCCCTCCCCATATGCACCAAGTCTCTGCCCCCCCCTTCTATTTTGCCTTCTTCCCACCACAATCGAAAGAAACCAAGCATATTTCACATGTAGCATGCGTTGGTGCTGCTAATACTCCATAAACCCAATGACCGTTAAGTATTAATAAGTACTTTTAAATTCTTACAATAATATATCCACAAGAAATAGGTTCTTGGATTTGAACAAATAATAATTATCTTCCATATTATAAAGTTAAGACGTATAACAGAAACTCATAATTATTTTCATGCCTATTCTTTTTCTCTCACCACTTAAAAGGCATGGGGCATTCCTCTTTTTGCTTAAGCCATAACATTGCATCGTTTGATTACTTTATTGATTATAGATTAATTTCATTTTTAGCTTCCGTTCTTCATATTAATTGGATGCTTGTGGAAAATCTTAATTTGCAATATTAGTGCATAATGATAAATATGATAATTAAGTAACTGATACAACTTTTGTATGTGTAGAAAAAATACAGTGAATGCTGAATTTCAAATAAGCTTTTGCTTTGTTGTCTTGTGTAGCTTTCTTTGCCAGTTGGAATGCCATGTTAGAAGTGATAAACGTCACTCTTTTTATAGAGCTATCTCTTTTCATGGTGAGTGATGTTTGTAATCTTTCTCTTGGCTGAATAGTTTGTATCTCTCTTGTACATTCCAATGTGTTTGCGATTGCTTTACTGAGCTTAGATGTATCTAGTTGTACAGTAACGCTTTTTCGCTTCGCTCTGTGTTCACTTTCATTATCATGACTCTGTGTGTTTGAAATGAGAGACGTCCGGACAGTTATGGTTTCATGTAACCATAGAAATACGAAACCTTTTGTCTATTCTTTTCAGGTCACAAACAGTCAGATACCCTCTAGGTATGAACCTAGCATCTGCGTTTGTCGCGGCCGCGTTTTATGGCAAATTTTGGTCCGCGAATCCCGGCCGCTCCCCCCCCCCCAAAAAAAAAACAAAAACGAAAAAGAAACAAACAAAAAAACAACACCGCTCGGGAATAAAAAATCGAAAAATAAACCAGGGGGAATAAAAATCGAGAAACAAAAAATGAAAACATACAAAAAAACTCAAAATAAAGAAACTGAACCTCATTGACTTTACTTATAGAAAGAAAAACTAGAAAGTTCACTTTCACTTCTCTTTCTCACTTGTTGACACCACGTTGATATGTTATTTTCAATGAAATTTCATGTGAAGAATGAGTACGTTACATACTATTTATGTATTACTGTTTCCCTTTAATTTGTCCCTCTTTATTGTGTTTCAATTTTCCTTGTTATTGTTCTGATGTGTTCTTTTTCTGTTTTTGATGTTTATATAACGTATGTCATTTAATTTGATGTTGTTCCCACCTTTAAAAAAAAATACAAATGTGCTATGCTAGAGCGTGTCTCTATCAAAACTGAATACTGACACAGGCAGGCCCCGTGTGTGATTCCATAATTTACATGTAAGTAATATCCTGTACTTTTTCTTAAATTACACACGTTTGGGGTTAAAACAGCCAATCTTGGGATAGGTTAACACGCGTCTTTATTTATTAATTTTTGTGGTCGTTTATGTGCTGTTCTAATTTTGATTTCATTCTGTTGTGAAACCTTTATTTGTCACGTTTTACATTCTGTTTGGCTACAAATGATATTCTGGTTTCTTAAAACAGAACAAAAGAAATTCTGGTGCCTTAGATTAAGTTATCTCTATAAACATGCTATAAAATACGTCATCACGGAGAGTTGAAAGCTTGAAAATTAATGGCAACTTTTTGGGCAATTTTTGCCATTTTTGAGACAACTTTTGGCAACATTTGGACAAAAAAATGGCAACAAACGCAGATGCTAGATTAACCTTGTTGCGGGCTCAACAATATGCCTTTCCCCAAAAGAAGGAAGAACAACACTGAAATAAATGGAAACCCTGCTTACAGATATTAGACTAATGTCTTTCTAGCCTGACTGGAGCCCCTCTGGGGTTCAAGTTTCGAATTTCGAATTTGGAAGTACTGCCTGAAAACTAAGTTCTCATAAACTATCAAAATTAGTATAACTGATCCACTGAGACAAAGAAAAACGTTCGTTCACAGTAGCCCTAATGAAAACACAAAGATTTAAACTTCTTGTGGAGGGTATAGATTTTTTTAGTTTGCTAAAGTGAGTATCACAGTAATCGTTTTCAACACAAAAAGTCAATGCTACGCACTGTTATCTGAAAGCGAGAGTTAAGGAAGAGAAAGATATATAGCTTTTTTTGGACGTCTCATATTTCAGCACGCTAAAACCTTCTCCCCCCCCCTCACTCTCTCTCTCTCTCTCCTCTCTCTCTCTGTCTGTCTGTCTGTCTGTCTGTCTGTCTCTCTCTCTCTCTCTCTCTCTCTCTCTCTCTCTCTCTCTCCTCTCTCTCTCTCTCTCTTTCCCTCTCTATATATCTCTCTTCATTTCTCTTTCTCATACGTTCCCCCTTTCTCTCACCCCCCCCTCCCCATCTCGTCACCAAACGCCTTAGTTCTATGGAACTGAACTGTATCGCTAAACCCTCAACATTCGCGACCTCCGGTCTCTGATCGTCCCCAGGATCTGGTCGTAAGGCGTCTCCTATCGTGGAGCAGTCGTCGATGGCGGTGGAGACCGTGGAGAAGAAGGCCGGGGCTGGCGGCAAGACGCGGAAACTGAGAGGCGATGCCAGCAAAGTAGTGGCCAAGGGACCTGGTCTCAAGAAGGCTTTCACCAACCGTCTGCAAAACTTTACCGTGGATGTTAAGGATGCAGGTAAGATAAGATAAGATAAGATAAGATAAGATAAGATAAGATAAGATAAGGTAATATGAGATAAGATGAGATAAGATGAGATAAAATGAAATAAGATACGATAAAATGAGATAAGAGACATTTTGCGAAAGCATTGAGAATAATTACACGCAGACACTAACAATAAAACGCACACTCATAGACACACACATAATATACTCACACACGTTTGCCTGGTGTGAGAAAAGGCAACTTAAGCTGGGTTACTTTTTTTGGTTCTTGTTCATCCTATAAATGGACGTAATCTGGTTAGTGTCTTCTTCTTCTTCTTCTTCGCTTTTCCAGTCGTTGGACTATGTTTGTTTTAGTAAGGTTTTAGGGCGCTCGCAACTGCATAAGGTCATATGAGCGCCAAGGGGTGGATGTCAACATATATTTCTAAACGGGGAATAAGGCTTGCTCTGCTCACCTCTCTAGCCTCAACAGCACAAAGTCTACTTCCACTTTCAAGGCACCCCGGAAATGCAGTTCACAAGAGAGTGACAAACCTACAAAAGAAGTAGAGGAAAACTGACGATAGTAAGGAAGAGGGGGGAAAAGCAGCAGTTCCCCCATTGTTTTTTTTCGCACAGTATGAGCAGGACATTAATAAATCAGCCCATTAAAAATTCTATTGTGCATAAGAAAATACCCCCCCCCCCTTTTGGGAAAAGCCTAAAGACACTTTAGTCAGTAGCACTGCCCGGGGGGGGGGGGGGGGGAGGGAGCGGTCGTTGGACTTTGCCTCTCAGACCGTCCTGCCTGCAATAAAACACTGTCTCTTGCCGTTCTGCCTGTCTTAGGTGCTTGGGTTCCAAGCCAGGGTTCTGTGTCCTGTTTTTATCATCTATTAAGTCCTCTCTTGCCACCTACCTTTGCTTCCAGCATATGTTTATCGAGTGAAACATTTCGTTCGTCAGTTATTAGCCGTTTAAAATCTAAACTAGGCCAGGGTGAAAAACATTTCAGACCTGGCGCAACACTTATTATTTTCGGCAGACTTTTGAGGGGCTTTCATTATTGATGCATTTTCAGATATATAGAGTTGCTATAGTCTCTATGTTGGGTTTTGTTTAACTCTCTTCTAGACACATGCGAATTAATTTGGAGGCAGGGCTTTCGGTTTGCACCAAGCTACATAGTAAACAACAGAACAGGGACATGGAAAAATGAATTCGATTCCAGTGTAGGGAGATCTATTTTTGAGTATCTAGGTCTTTCTACTGGGACGATGTATCCATCTCAGCGCGGGTGCCCCAGAGAGGCAGAATCAAAACTCGCTTCTAAAATGATCTAAATTGTGCTGCTGGGGATGTAAAATCAAATTAGCATTCGCAGGAAATCTACGGACCAGCCGCATTTGGCCCGCAGGTCAGGATTTCTATGACAGGTAACGTACTGCCCTTGTCTCGCACGTCACACGTCCTTATTTTCTCAACTTTCAGGCCTGGCAATCCTTAGCGTTGGTATGATTGCCCCTAGTGGACACCCCGAAGCAGAACTGTCGGTGAAGAAGGTCACGGCGACCTCTTACTCCGTCAGCTACAAGGTGCAGGAGATGGGCGAACATATCCTGCACGTGAAATGGGGCGATGATGAAATCCCGGGAAGTCCTTTCGTCCTCTGCACGTGAGCATGTCATCGTGGAGCCTGATGATAGGGAGTACTTCGTTTGCGACTACGACATTCATGATAATTTTGTCTGGCAAGATATTGCCTGTATTCATTCATTGTATTATTTAATTTCACTCTCCCCCCATTTTGTTGAAGACACTTTTTCAAAACGTCCTGGAAGAGAATGCACAACAGTATTATTCCGAGATATGGTTATATTACATGCTGCTTTGACAGTTCTAAAAACATGTTGAGCAGTCATTGTGTTTTGTTTTTTTTAAACCCCATAAGAGCTGTGAAATGAAGTATAATATGATCACGATATTTTGTTTAGTTCTTCAAGAATGAACCCGAGCGATGAAATCAATAGCAAAACTTTCTTTCGGCCGCAGAGTATTTGTACTTTTGTCAATGCAATGAATTATTTATTTATTTGTTTATACATATAGTTGAATTGAATACTGAAGAGTACAATTTATACAAAGCAACTTGTGTTCTCAAGTTGCTGAATTTTCAAACCAATCTTGTAAGCAACGCAAACAAAAAAGCCACTGTCGTTAGTTGATTCAGGCTGGGCGTGTGTGTATTTGTAGCCGGATTCGGTGCACTTCATATCGTATATCATTAAATTCCGTTGACATATTCGTTTGTCCTTAATGTCTGTGACCCATATTATTATCACTTTTGAAAATCTTGTAATGATTTCCCCCTCTAGCACTTCCATATAAAGAGGCGTTGTTCTCTTCTTCCCAGTTTAGCCAAATTTGTTTTTGTTTTTCTAGTACCGTGACTGCACTGGACTTGTTTTCATATACTGGTGTGCTTTGCTTGGTCAGTTATGTATTCAAATGACGACAAAGTTTCATATTTGATATACTCATCATGATGGCTGTGAAAAATACCTTTTCGAAGGGATACCTGGGCTCATCTTAGGAGCATTTTTCCAAGTATCTTTCGATCATATGCGTATTTTGTGGTATTGGCTGATTATGTGTGTTGGTGCATGTATATCTGATCGCATGTAAGTTTTTATAACCATCAAAAACCATTTCAGACATATCAAATGAGAAAGGGAAGGGACATATAGGGGCATTTCTTCTTATCCTCAGGTTTCTTTTTTTTATAGCGTTTATAAAACAAAACGCTATTTTTAACGAGATTTTACACCTGCAATTAGCCAAACTTTGGGCAGGCAATATGGCTCTGGAAAGAGCTTGTTGAAAGTGAAAAAACAAATGGTACACCAGTTGAGAAAGTCTATATGTACACTGTTTTACGACGAAGGCATACAATTCTCTACGATGCTTAATGTTATCATAGTATTATCTGTAATGATTAATGAAACAAGGATTAGATACCAGGACGCACACAATATGCGATAACACTTACTTGGGACTTCAATAAAAACTAGGGTCTTTCTTTTATAGCTATCCCCTTGGAAAGATTCATGTAGCCTGAAAGATTCGGATTAATATTATCATGCATTAAAAATTTAGATGTTCATTATCCAGATTTTAGATGCGAGGATGGGAAGTATGCTTGACGGTCGACAGGGAGTGCTACTTTTTCATGAAGTCATGTGCGAAAGGGTTAGTAAGTAATTTTGAGAGTGAATATGAGTTAATGTTATTGTGTAAGTTGAATTTTGACTAATGATATATCTTCTAACTTCTGAGTGATGAATAAAGTATTAGTTTTCTCCCCTTCCTTTGAACGTTGTCTCGTGTTCTTGATGTTTCGTCTCCTCGTTGCATTGTTGTACACACGTACAGGGTGTCCCAAACTCGATGATCGCCAAAAAATGTTGAATAAAATAAAATTGTTTTTAATACATCAAAGTGCTTCTGTAGAAACATAAGAACCATCCTGCCAGATAGTTGCACAACTTAGTACATGAAAAGGAGACCAGATTCATAACTGTTAGCTTTACATAAGATGCTCCACATGACCCCCATCACGCGCATTGCATTTCCCTGTTCAGACTAAAATGTGCAGCGTTCTGGCACTGCTCTTACAAGGTCGTCGTCTCGATTTCTGAGTTCCTTTTATTCACATTGTCTTGTCTTTTTGTTTCCCAGAGCACACAATTCCCAGAATTAACGTTTCTAGTCCTGTAGAAATGAGCATAGCTAAACAGAGCGTTGAAAATTCTCTCTCTGCTTCTTAAAAACCCCTAGCACTTATTGTTTTCCTCTTCAAAGCATTGTCTTGGTTGATAAAAGTGTAATATAGCTTCATTTTCAAATCATGCTTTAAGATTCTGTAAGAAAGGAACTTTGACAAGCCTTGCTCACTGCATCATCCTCGAACAGACTTCTCATGTGTTGCCACAATCGATGCGCGAACAGATTCCGCATTCTGCAGCATTTTAATACTGCTTTCTCCTTTCCTTAAAGGCTTTCTGACAGACTTCCTCTCACCTTGTACTGTTCGTACCACCCCTATATTGCTCTTATAGAAGGTTCTCTAGATCACTAGATCTATATCTGGAATCAACTCCCG